AATGATGAGAGTAGTAGATTTACCATTGGTTTACCTGAAGGGTCCTTTTCTGTGCACTGTGGGAGAGTCCAACCCGCCCAGGGTTATTTCACCCAGGGATTCGGTACCATCAGTTACCATCGGACTTTTCTCTACTCATCAGCATACCTATGACCTTCCCTGGATCCAGAGATCATCACGAGGCACCAGGAGGCGTGGCCAAGGAAAAAGGTTCCTCAGTCCCAGGGCAACCAGACTAATTTAGCCCACTGCTAGGACTCTCCACAGTGCACAGAAAAGGACCCTTCAGGTAAACCAATGGTAAATCTACTACTCTCATCATTTAAAAAAAATAAAGTGCTTAAATTTAAATAAAATTTTAGGAAAATGAGGACCCAGATTTTTGGGGAAAATATACTGCTGTTCTAAATCACCTGGAAAGTGCTGTAAAGCAATATGGGGAAGTAGAGTATAAAGGTTTAGGTGCTATTGCTATTGCTACATTGTATTGGCATGCTTTATAGGGTAGCACATACAGGAAATTACAAGAACATGCAGTTTTCATCACTTGAGCCATAGTGACCCAGCGGTTAGAATGCAATACTCCAGGCTACTTCTGCTTACTGCCAGCTGCCAGCAGTCTGGCTGTCCAAATCTCACTAGCTCAAGATTGACTCAGCCTTCCATCCTTCTGAAGTCTGTAAAATGAGGACCCAGCAATATGCTGATAATGTAAACTGCTTAGAGAGGGCTGTGAAGCAGTATATGTCTAAGTCCGTAATGGCGAACATATGACATGCGTGCCACAGATGGCACACAAAGCTCTCTCTGTGAGCACGCGTGCCATCGCCAACTGCTCTTCCGGATTTCCTCACGTCCATGCGTACCAGCCAGCTGGTTTCTTCCGGGTTCCGGCGCACACATGCGCACTGGCCAGCTGGTCTTCGAAGACAAGGTGCACTGGAAACCCAGAAGAGAGCAGCTGGCCACCGCACGCATACACACCAGCCAGCTGTTCTCTTCTAGGTTCCGATGCTCTGGCGCGCGGCACTCTAGTTTCAGCACTGGGTGCCAAAAAGGTTAGCCATCACTGATGCTATTGCTATTGATTCCAGAACAATAGAACTAGTAACATTTCAGTTTTTCAAATAAGACCAACAGCTAATGAATGCACTAGGCATTGGATTTAAATATTCTGAGAGTATGCCACTGATTTTGGCAGTTTTGAAAATAATCAGATATCCTTTTCAGCAGTCACAGAAATATTTTCTGTTGCTACAGTAACATTGTAAACTTAAACATAACAGAACTAGAAATGTGCAGTGTAATGTCAGATGGTTAATTATGTCAATGTAGTGGGCAGAATCCTCACATCTCTTTAGGTGCCAAGACTTAACCTGATGATTATCTCATAAAGTTATTACGCTTTTTCATCTAGTTCCAAAACTATCCTTTGCCTTGATAACTTTTGTAGCAACGGTATCTAATAGCCTCATATATAAAGGCAAAACTTAATCGCTAGGTTCTACTTGTAGAAATAGAATTGGAAATAAATTATAATAATATGCAAATCAACCTGTTGAAACAAGAGTTTGGAAACTTTTTCTTCTGTTTTTTATTTTAATTCATGTAATTTGAATGTGCCCAATTAAATGGTTAATTGATACATAAATCAGCAACTCCTTCTGGCCCCAGATACTATGCTACAATATTACACAATGGCATAAAATCCCCCTGTGGGTTGGCAAAATCTTACAGCAAATTCACACCGAAATTTTATAACAACTCAGAGCAAGAGTACTGAACATTCCATATGGATTTGATATTTTCATGATGATTATATTAGAGATCAATATTATGTATCAACATTCTCATTACTGTTCCATAACATGCTAAGTCAAAAATGGATTACATTGTTGTTTACAGTTAATATAAGCAGTTAGGTGTTATGGCTTGTTTTGCTTATACTACAGTCTAGATTAGTATTACACACTACTTAATTCAGTCCATTTGTGATGTATTGGGCACAATATGAGTGAAAATCACAATTTGTCCAGAGCTAAAAAAAAAAAGGCGTATCATGGTTTTCTTTTGCCTTTGTATGTGAGACAAAAAAGTTAAAATTTCAAGTTTTACTTTGTAATAAACTAGAAAGAGAGAGACTTCAAATTTACTTTTATTGGAATATCTTCAAAGAACTTTACTTTTAAGTTATCCAGGAAGTACATAGAATACCGTTCTGGGTTAAGCTTGACACTGTAAGCATTGTTGTAGAAACTAGTGTTCGGTGAGATTTCAATACATTAAAATATAAAAATGAATTCTTAATTTGGGTGATTTCTGTTCTAGATTTTCAATACACCAACAAAGAGGAGAAGGAAAATTTCCTCAGATATAAATCTTTGTGATTTTGCCACCTTCGTCATGGAAAAAGATTCAGCAATATATATATTCCCCCTTAGCTAGAGATGCTAAATTTAACTTGCTTAAGTTGCTGTAAAATAAATTATTTGTATTTATCTACACATAAAGAGAGCAGATTTTGGGGCTGTATTGTGTTGGGTCAAGTTAATTTTTGAATCATTACTGCAGTGACAAAACAGTTGAACAAAAACTAATACTTTGTCTGAAGTGAAATTGAAGTCTTAGATTTTTCAGCATAAAACCAGTCATCAAGAGTGATTTTGGAATCTCTCAATACTAGGCGTGGAATATATCGCTGTCTTAACCCTGATCTTAAGTCAGATTTGGGGGTACGTAATAATGTTGTTTTATTGTTTCTTGGGGTGTTACAAATACTAAAGTGAAAAAAGGCACTTTTGTAATGTTACACAGATCAAGAGCTGACAAATTAGCTGTGAATTATAAGACTAGGTAAAGAACAGTAGCATCCTCTGCTGGTTGTCCAAAGTATGATTGGGCCCTGTCCTGTATCGTTTAGTATTGGGTTGTGGTTTTTTTTTTTTGGACTATTTGATTTCCAGGTCAAAAAAAAAAGGGGGGGGGAGTCCATTGCCTTTAATCAGATTTAAAAGATTATAATATGTATAAAGTTGTGGCTTCAAAGTTCTGTATCCAAAGGTAACGGTAAAAAATACTCAGTTTTTCATAAAGTTGAAAAACTGTAAAATGGAAATAAATTCATGATAAATTTCTTTCTTTTCTTTTCACTAAGCCTCAGAAGAAGAAAGTGGGAAACCTTTCCAATGTCCAATCTGCGGCTTGGTTATAAAAAGGAAGAGCTACTGGAAACGGCACATGGTGATCCATACAGGCTTAAAAAGTCATCAGTGTCCTTTGTGTCCATTTCGTTGTGCACGAAAAGACAATTTGAAGTCACATATGAAGGTAAGGCTGGTAAACTCTGGCATTTAAGAAATCTAAAATTGTTGTTGGGAATTTTAAAGAAACTCTAAATGAAAAGCAGTATGTTTTTTATAATGTAATTGTTATAAATTCATTTTATCCACCAGAAGAATTGAGAGATACTGGGTTTTTCACTTCGTTGGATTTGTTCAAGCAGAGGGTAGATAGGTGCTTCTCAAGACTGTTCTAATGTGAATTTTTACATTGAGCAAAGAAGTTGACTTGGTATCTAAATTGCTTTTCCAACTCTATGATTTTATAATCTAACTACTACTATCTTTGAAAAAAATACTTGTTAATTTTGAGCAATCATCAAATAAAATGGATATGTATGTGTGTATACGGGCACAGGTATATTTTAAACATCCTAGGAAATACTTGGTTTTGGATATAACTTGGGAATCAAGTGTTTAATTTGATGATTTTTATTCAGTGACTCTTGGACAAATGTTCATGTAGCCAAATATTCATCATTAAATTCTTATATATAGAAGGACAACTTTGAGCTCTGTATGCTGACCTTCTCTGTTAAAATCATTGAGATCCTCAAATAAGATGTACAGTACATTATAAATAAAGAAAAATCAGGGCAGGAAGGGAGATGATAAATCAGTAAGTGGTAACTAGCCTGATGCTCTATATATATATCTTAGATGATAAGTCCCATAATCTCTTATCAATGACTTTATCAATTGAATCTTATGAAAATTGTAATACAGAATGTCAGTTTACTGAACATACATATCTTCTACTGAGTCTCTTTCTCGCAGTCCTTATAAGATTCTATCTATATAATTCATTTGCAGATCTCTATGATCTTAACAAGGGATTTGTATTTATTTGAGAGATATGCTATTATCCCTGTTGTTATTATTACTGAATTAGGTTCACCAACACCAGGACCGGGGAGAGACATTTCAGTGCCAGCTGTGTCCATTTACTTCCTCTCGCCATTTCAGTCTGAAACTCCACATGCGTTGCCACCAACATTTTCTGAGGACAGAAGCCAAAGTGAAGGAAGAGATTCCAGAAATGGATGTCAAGATCTCACCACTACTGAGTGACAACTCCAGAATGGGTCAGGAGGTAGATGGAGGAACAGATCATGTAGGGACTACTGCTGCCTCTAGATCTCCTGATGCACTTGGGCAGGTGGGAACTACCATCCCACCTCTGCTAGTCAAAGAAGAACCCAAAGATGACAGCAGTGCCCCCAGCCCCTCTTTAGCCCTCAATGTTGTTGACAGAATTGCCAACAGTACAAAGCTAAAAGATTCCATTGACTTTATGACCAATACAGCATCAGCACTTTTCAGTCAGGATATATCAGTCAAGATGGCTTCAGATTTTCTTATGAAGCTTTCAGGTAAAGATAAACCAAACTTTTTTCTCTTTGGGTTTGGGCCATTTTCTTATGCTTTTTTTTAATACCATGAAAATAATAGCCTCTTCAAGATATTAAAATATATTTCCAGGCATCTTAAATCCAACCTGTGTCTGGGGCCTCATGCAGCTTAGACAGCTAGTAATGTGGCCACAGAAACTTTTAACATTATTATATGATTTTATAATATAAAACTATATTATGTATTTTATATGAAGCCCCAAAAGGTTACTCTTCATTCAATGTGACCCAGGCAAGCCAAAATGTTGGACACACATACCTTAAATGTTGTTTTCTCTCAAAATAATGCATTTAAATGCATAATGAAACACTGCATTATGCATACATAATTATTTTCCGGATTGCCTTTGGATGCCACCAGCACTAGGAGAAAGTTTCTTAGGAGTATAGATTGTTGTTTGCCAAATCAGTCTCTATGACTGATCGTATCAACTAACATATAACTATTTTGGTAGTTAAGTTAGTTGTGCACTGTGGTGGACACTTTGAACCCAAAAGGTTCTCTACACTGTGGGTTGTATTTAAAAGCATTTTTTTAAAAAGAAATTTGTAGCAAAATTATACCTCTAAAGTCAAGGCACCATGATATCTTGGCTTTTGAAAAGGGGGATAACTTAGAACAGCATAAAACAAAAGTTCCTACTAATAGGAAACTACTTTACCCTGCAGTTCCAAAAGAAACTGCAACATTTTTGTTGCACTGGCTCCTCTGCATTGAAAGTTGAACTAATTCACTTCTGAAACTAGTTGAGTAAGCTTTAATTGACTTTTATCTACTCCTAATTTTTTACATGTAAAAGGGTATATCACAATGGGAGCATAGACTTGTCCAGTTTGAAGCCATTCTAAAAGAAACCTATTTCCTACAGTAGTACAATTTCAACTGGGTTCAGACAATGTCTAATCATGCTGGCTACTTAGACTCAGGCTGCTCTGTAATACTGCTTTGGAAACGAAACAGTGGATAGATTTTGAATCTGAGCACTTTTTAAAACAAATAGTTTTATTCTTGATTGCTGTAACAACACAGCAGCACTTATACTAATGATCTTAGGTGAATCCTGAAGCTAAAAGCCAGAAAGATCACTGACACATGTCAGGGTATCGCCGATGGCATACAGCATATCTGTTATTAGAACACTGTTAGGTGCATACATTGTTTCTTGACATATTCAAAACTTTTACTTGACATTTATGTTACTTTTTTAAAAAAAGCTATAATGTTCTCTGTGCCCCCACGGTCAGGGTTTTTCTTACTATTCCCTCACTCAACATTTACTAAAGAAAGAAAAAATAAAAATCTGGCAGCTACTTTACTGTGATTTAAGGCTGAAGAATTTTCAGAAGCTGCTATAGAGAAAAGATGTTTGGCAAGTGTGATCTGTAGCTCTTCAGCCTTTTGGAGACTGACAGTGCCCTTTTCAGTGGACATTAATTGATCACCTATGTGTGTTGCATTTCAGTAAAATGCGAGTGCTAGCTGAACTGGAGGATCAGCAGAATGTATACCATCCTTTCCTTGGTAATTCCTCACTGATATTTTATATCTATTAATTCACTTTAAAATGCAGTTTTCTGTCCTGAGGATGAGAAACGTTTCTCAGGGAGCTGCAGTATGGGATATCTTCCCCTATCTTTCCTAATTGCAGAATAAAGTGATGGTTATAAGAAGTATTTTCCTGACTCTTCTTATCACCATCAGGGGAAAAAAATTGCAATGCTTACCAGCAGTGGGAAAAAAAATGGACATTTCAGGGTGGCTTAAGGAAATGTTTGATCCGCAGTATCTAAGCTCTTCTACTTCTATGGGCTACTGCTAAACATAAGTAACTGTCTATCGTGGACCTCACCCCATTCCTAAGAGGTCCGTAAAGGGGGTGTGCATAAGCACACCAGCATGCCTACCGTCCCTGTCCTACTGTCCCCATTTATTTGTACTCACTTCCTTTGTTCATGTCCATGTTTATACTTATACTTGTTATCTTGTACATGTTTGACAAACCAAATAAATAAACTGCAGTCTTCAGCTCCTTCACTGTTTACAGCCTTTTCCCATTTGCTTGACTGAAGGGACCAATGTTTTCTTCCTTGTCTTGTTAAGATTATTCTGTTCTGTATTTATAATATGATCATTTAAAATGCTTGGGTGGTTTAAAGCACGTCAAAAATACAATGAAAACAGAAAATATATAATAGAAACAACTAGCAAAATGAAACTGCTTAAACTGATTTACAGGATGTAAGAACTTGCAAAACTATTTGCCTGACATTTGAAAAATGACATCTGAGTAGGTGCTTTGCTAACCTTTGTAGTGAAAGCATTCCTCAGCATTCTGGGAAGGCCCTTTCCCCAGTAACTGCCAAGTACACAAGGTAGTGGTGATCACATAGGAATTTGGTTGAGTCTTTCAATATGTTCTTAATCCTTTTACTCCGGAGTGGAATAAATATAGTACGGAAAGAAAAACCAAGAATAAAAGAAACTGAATGAATGCAATTCTGAAAAACATGAAAATGATGGAATTAATGAAATATTCTTTTCTAGCTTTTTTGAGGTATAATCTTATAAAATGCCTGCAAAGAGTAAATTCCATAGTGAAATATACTTAGAGAAAAACTATTATAAATATATATTAGAGACAGCTAGAAACATGCTGATAGTTTCCTCTGTTAAAACATACTGATTTGAAAGAAAGAGAAATGATTTCTCTTAAGATGTTGATCTTTTTAAAGGCCGGCTTACGTATACCTATAATTACATTTTACCTTCTTTGTTATACTAAACCAATATTTTAGATTATATTGTGTTAAGTTCATGTCATAAATATATATTATATTAGGTTGTGCCTTATATGAATGAAATAAACACTACAGCTGAAATAGACGCAAACCTAAGTTTTGTAGGGCGAGAGAAAAAGAGAGACCAAAAACTGAATATATCTTCTCTTTTGATGCCTGTTTTTTTAATTCAGAAATTGATAAGCAGTTCTGTAGTGTTTAGCAAACAGAAATGCTAAGGACCCAGATGAGATCTTTCATGCAAAAAGGACCAAAGCATTTATTTTATAGTGTCTTTAACAAAAAGGTCCTCAAACTTGAACTTGTGTGCAGTATTACCTAGCAACATGTTATAAAGTTACTGAAGGAGTGAGATACATCTTAGATGAAAATCTAAACTAGGTAGATGTGTCAATGTCACACAAGGGATCAATGTTATGTTAAGGAAGAAATTAAAACCATTGATCAGAACAATGTGTATCTAAAATAACTTATGGAATTATGTATTAAACCAACATGGCAATACTTAAGCAGATCCGTTCCATAAAACAAATGTTTTATTTAGTGGACTTGAGAGATTTATCAGCAATGTTTTAAAGGAAATATTTCCATTTATTATAAAATGAACAAACAAAAATATGAGTTAGGAGAAAACTCTTGAGGATATTTCTCTGTCAGCTTTTTGCGGAAAAGTACTTGCTTTGGCCCAGATCAGTGCACTGCAGGCTGCTCTGCAAATGAGCAAAAGGGCAAGGGCAATGAAAGAAATGAAAAAGAAAAAAAATCCCAGGGCCAAGTCAGATTGGGACAGTCTATTTAGACTGCCCTGAAGGCATTGCTTGAGGAATCCACAGATGGGTCATTGATAGTTCTTGTCCCAAAGGATGCATATGTTTTGTGAGTAATTGGGACTCTGAAGGCAATTTCAGGCACAGCCATCCTGTAAGGTTCATAATTTTATAAAACACCAGATGTTGAAATACTTATTTTTTCTTCTATAAATGTCTATTAAATCTATATTCAAGTATTGGAAGCTGAAAATCATCAATCTGTTATCTCCGTGCTATAGGTATGGTAATAAAAGTAACTTGATTGAGCTTGAGTGCTGATATTGAAGATTCTTGTGAGCTGGACACCTCTCTTTTAATTTATGAAATAAAGATGTGTTGAATGAGATGATCGTAAATGCCTTTTAAAGTATTTCAGCTACAACCTCTAAGATATATTTATTGCTATCAATCAGCACAAAGTGTTACTTTTGTTCTGCTGGACAAAAGAATAGAAAGGCTTTTTATTATTTTTGTAAGAATGTCAAGAATGGATGATAAGAAAAATTGGCAAATTATTGCAGTGTGCGATCTTTGTGTAGGAATAACCTGTATGGAGCTCTATTTTATTTTATTTATATGGATTTATAGTGGTTAGTATTAGGGATCTTCAGTCACAAAAGTTCAAAACACTTGGACAAAAAACTAATACGTATATGTATATATACACAGACATACACACTCACTCATTCCTTTTTTATGAACCTGTAGCCCCTGTTCAGGGTCATAAATTCTAAATTGGATGAATTTCATGGTAATGAACCATTATCCGGTTCTAGAGTAGCTTTTTCTAACCTCTGTATATATTAGAGAATTGCCTTAGATTCAGATCATTGTTTGGAAAGAAAGGACTATACAGGGAGTTTTTGACTTATAACCATTTGTTTAGCAACTGTTCAAAGTTTCCACAGAACTGAAAAAGTGACATGATAAATCCTCATACTTATGATCATCGCAGCATTTCCATTCACAATCCAAGTTCAGGTATTTGGTAGCTAGCATGTATTTATGATAGTTTTAGCATGTGGGGAGGATCACATGATCACTGTTTATGACCTTACCCAGTTGACTTTTGACAAGCAAATTCAATGAGGGAAATCTAGATTTGCTTAATGTCCACATGATTCATTTATCCGCTGGGCTAATTTGTTTAACAACGGCAGCAAAAACAGTTGTAAAATTGGCTGCAATTTATATAAAAACTGTCGTGCTTAGCAATGGAAGTTTCAATTGGTTATAAGTAGAGGCAGTAGAGTCAAGGAAATGACAATAGAACCAACAAATAGAGAATCTTCTGCAGTGTGTTTCATAACATATTGAATCATAAACTAATCAACTACTTTTAAAATTAAAAACAAATGCTGTTAGAAGCATTTAAAACATTTAAACAGTTAAAGCCATGTGATTAGTTTACCCGAGTTAGACAAAGAATGGAATACTAAGAAAAACACGTCCTTTTAATTTATTGAAGATATTTTTTTGAAAAAAGAAAAGAAAAATATTGGAGAAATATTTCAAATTTCGGGATCGCTTGACTTGATTTCATGGCATACTATTTTCCCAGTGGTTGCCCATGTTTAGCTTTCTCTTGTGAACTGGTTTTGTATTCATGCATTTCCTTTCACTGTTCCCCCCTTTTTCTACTAGCTGCAAATCAAAAAGAACCCTTGACACCTACATTTAAAGTGAAAGAAGAACCGAAAGATGAGGACAGTGCAAGCTCCACATTGTCTAAAACCAGTTATGGTTTTAGTCATGAACCTGAAGTATCTGCCCCAAGTATTCCTAAGGAGAATCCCAAACCACAAGAAGCGCCAGCAAATGTACTGCAACAGGATATGTCAGTCAAAGCAGCATCTGAACTTCTCATGAAATTATCAGGTAATTAGTTATTTGAACATAAATCTAGCTTCTTGCATTTTTATTTTGTTTGTTTGAAATTGCCTACCATTCCATTATTATTTTGTTTTATGGGTACCAAGTTCTCATTACTGGAATGCACAAAGTTATAAATTTTATTACCGTATTTTTTTGAGTATAAAAACACACTTTTTCCCCCCTAAAAGAGGCTGAAAATTTGGTGGCGTGTTATACTCCAAATGTAGCCCACTCCCACCCCTACCTTTCAGTCTCTGTGCATCCTTTCCTGGCTGCAGAGATTGCTACTGACAACCGCTTGGGTTTTTGGGCTCTGCGTGTTGTGTTTTCAGCCTCCAAATGCTTGACGTGCGGTGCCCAAACTGCTGCTGCCTTCTCTTACCCTTTCCCCGCTTTGCCTGGTTTAGTCACTGGAGCTCACTCAGGAGATCAGCTGTGCTTTTGAAGCTGTTTTTCAGCCAAGCATGAACTAAGCAATCTTCCATGCTTTGCCTGCTTTTCTAATTGCTGCTCCCTCCGACAATCAGGTGTGCTTTAGAAGCACCGCCCCCACCATCCCCAACCTCAAAACCAGCGAGCGAACTGATATGATGAAGCTGACCAGGCTAAGGACTAGCCAGATGAATACCTGGTACGCAGAATTTTCCCCCCTATTTTCCTCCCCAAAAACTAAGGTACGTCTTATACTCCGGTGTGTCTTATACTCTGAAAAATATGCTAAACTATTGGAAAATTATTGCTTAATTAGTGCATTTGTGCATTAACTAATGGTACAATTTTAAAATGCTATAAAACAGCCCTCCCAATCAAATGACACCTGGATATACTGGGATTATAACCATCATGTTTTGTCATAGAAGGTTGACGAGAGAAGCTCTTGGATTCAGTCTGTTCTGTTATCTGTATTGTTGTCATAAGGAAAAAGATTGGGGGAGTCTCATCATATTAGTGTTAATACTTTGACTGTCCAAGAGCATCTGGAGTCACAAACTAGCTGATTGTATTTTAAGGCAGTGTATTATTTAATCCTGCCTGTGATGGTGGTGTGGAGTTTCCTGCCTGAGCAGGGGGTTGGACTAGAAGACCTCCAAAGTCACTTCCAACTCTGCTATTCTATTCTATTCTATTCTATTCTATTCTATTCTATTCTATTCTATTCTATGGTAGTTTATGTTCGGTATGTTGTATAAGTTTGGTTTATTTTTGAAAGGCATGGGTACATTAACTATGTAGTCATGTAAAAGGAGAAACATCACCCTTATCCCTGCTATCCAGAAATCCCCCCCCCTCTTTTAAATCCTCTTAACCCAGCAGTTACTTTGGCACTGATACAGCAATGCTCACATAATTTAAATTTTCAGAGCTATTATTTAATTGGCTGAAAATCTCTTAATTTGTATGAAAGGTTGTGTACGAAATCTTTGTAAGTACAACAGAATTAAATAAGGTTATTCCTACAGATACCAGTGTACTCCTAACAATTCCTGGATGCCACAGACTTAGTCTTGATTTTTTATAAAAGGTTTTAAATAAAAAAATTACATGATCATACATAATTTGTGTCATGACCTGCATCTTGTATCTGGAAAAATGGATGATTGGGGAGGGTTGTACTATATACTTAAATGCTCTGTTATTCTATGTCAGTGATGGCTAACCTTTTTGTTGTTGGGTGCCAAAAATGTGAGGGCATGCACGCAATAGCGGACATGTGTGCCAGCACCGCACATGCACATACAACCCCACCACTATGCTCCCCCCCACACATGCCGCACTGCTCGCCTCCAAACTGAACTTGGTATTTCCTCCAGGGGGTTGGGAAAGGCCGTTTTCGGAAACAATATTCCCAGTGGGCCTGTTTTTCACCCTCCCCAGGCTCCAGAGGCATTCCTGAAGCCTGGGGAGGGTGAAAACAGCCTCCCCCAGTCCCCTGGAGGTCGAAGCCGGAAATGGACCGTTTCCAAATTTCTGGTAGGCCTGTTGGGCCTGTTTTTCGCCCTCCCCAGGCTCCGGAGGCATTCCTGAAGCCTGGGGAAGGCAAAAATGGCCTCCCTCAGCTCTCCAAAAGATTCGCCATCATGGTTCTATATTTTACTTTGGTGGTTTGGCCTCATTTTATATCTTTATCAGTACAGTTAAAAAGAAATGTGGGGGGGGGCGACTCACTGGGTATTTTTTCAGAGAGTTTCAATGTGGATGCTTAGTTATATACTAAGATCATTTTCCAGTGGAAGAGAGGGAGTGGTCACGTGTGGGTATTCTCAAAGCCTGATTAGTCCAAGACTGAGAGTAAACTTCTTAAATACTCCTTCCTTCCATTCTAGCCCAGTCGGACGGCGGGGGTCCGCAGGTCAGAGGCCTTATTTGTCTCTTTCCAATCTGGGACTTTGGGAGTCAGGGTGTCTTTGGCTACCATTGGCTGTTGGCTACTTCAGGCAGTCGTGGAGGCCTATGGGGCATCAGTGCGTCCTGTCCCATCGGGAATTACAGCCCATTCTACTAGGACTGCCACAACCACAGCAACGTGGGGCATGAGGGTCCCCTTTGAAGACATTTGTCGGGCAGCCACTTGGGCTTCGCCGATGCCTTTCATCCGTCATTATCATCTTGATGTGTTCGCCTTGGCGGACGCTTCTTTTGGTAGGAGAGTCCGGCAGTTGATGCTCCCTTTGGGCCATAGTTGTTGGTTTTTTCCCTCCCTGGGACTCAGCTTGGGTATGTCCCACATGTGACCACTCCCTCTCTTCCACTGGAAAAAGAACGTTGGTCTTACCTGAACGTGTCTTTTCAGGGGAAGAGTGGGAGTGGTCACACACACCCCTTCTTTGGGTGGGGCCCAGGGGAGGGCCGGGTGTTTCCCGGGGGGGGGGGTTGGTTGTATCTGTTTCATTTCCGTTGTTCACCTTCGAGGAAACTGGGCTAGAATGGAAGGAAGGAGTATTTAAGAAGTTTACTCTCAGTCTTGGACCAATCAGGCTTTGAGAATACGTGACCACTACCTCTTTTCCCCTGAAAAGACACGTTCAGGTAAGACCAATATTCTTTATATTTTATCAGAATGACAGACTTTATTCTTTATTGAAGACTTTATTCAGATTTCAAAATGTTCACAACCTTACATTCTAGAACATCCTGTTTCTTCTGTAGCAGTTTTTGGGATTCCATCTCTTTCTATCTCTTCTATCTCTTTCAGCATAATATGTTGAATTACAGATTCCCCTCCTAAAAAGCCCTCCAACTGAGCATATGCAATCCTTACTATTTGGTTTTTGGGTCACCATTACCAAATTCTGAAAATATAGGTTTTCCTACAGGTCTTCTTAAACTATTATCTTGTGTATATATAGTGCTGTTTTGGATACATAAATACATAAGCTTCTTCACACAAAGAAGCTATTAATATACTGTCTATGAAGTACTATATGAACCTACATTTTCTGTTGAATACACCACTGGAGGCAAGTGTATTTCTTTTAAAAATTAGTTTTCAAATAGGTGGAAAGATCATAAAAAAAAACTCTGAACTTTGATACTGGAAATTATAATTGAAGTTATAATCTTCTATGGGAACTACTCCATCCCTGCATGTTTGTTATATAAGTATGGTAGGTATACCAGTCATTAGTTAATTCAGTTCAATCCAGAAGCTGGAAATAATAGAAGTAAAATTAGATAAATACTGCTTAATAATAGCTCAGAGTCCACATGCATTTGAATAAAGTTCTCTAATGCTGCCTATAGCCTTCTGTTTATTTGTCTGCTCTTTAAGTGCACTGTGTATGCTATGTAATTATGCTATGATATTTGCAAACAGCTCACTTGGGTAGATAAAATACTTTTGTGCAGATAGTGCTATATGCCTCCTAGGCTTTACAGAAATATTAGGTTGCACCCTATATAAAATATTCAGCATGTAATTATAGGAAATTGAGATTTTGATAACATTTTCTGCACCATACCTAGTGGCATAGAATTTGTTTTTCATTGAGAAAGCACATGTGTTTGTGGGTAATGTTCAGAATACAAATGTAGAAGCATATAGTATGAAGAAGAAAGCACACATTCTGAAGTCATGAATATTAAGGGCTTGTTTTTGGCAAGGAAGTTTTACTAATATTTGTGCATTTAGTTATTAAATAATAAAATCCTTGATGGCTTCTAAGTGATATAGTTTATTTTGATCACCTTGATCACAACTTAAGAAGAACTGGTTGAGGGTCCCGAATGATTGCTCAACAGAAATTTAATTCTAGGGATAATATTAAGTTTTCCTATAGTTTCGGCAGGAGGAGCTACAACAGGTTTTAGTCACAGCCTGATTGGTCCAGAGACTGAGGGATTTTTCTTAAGTATCCTCCTTTCCCTCTAGGCTCCCAGTTTCCCTCGGTCTTTGGTCCAAGCACTAGCTGGGGCTCCAACGAGGTACCATTAAAACTTGTGGTTATTTAATTTGATTGATTGGATATCCTAAATTTAATAAAGACTGACTGCGGCCAGAAGGGACTGTCTCCAGTCTCCCAGAGGTAAAGTGGGGGGAGGGCTTGCCTCCTACCCTGCGGCCAGTCAGAGAGCTGCCTGATTCCTGGGAGCGCAGGGGTGGCAGTTTCTCTAATAGCAGTTTCGGCGGCTTAAAAGCGGCTCCTGGCGATTTAAAGATGAAGGTTTTCTGCCACTATTCAATTCCGCTTCTCAGCGCCACCACTGAAGCTTTGCCGCAGCTTCAAAGAGCTGGTTAATCATCCGGAGGGCTCGCCTGTTTAAATTTTCCGCACAGCATGGCCTGTAAAAACAGGAGGACTGCAAGTCTGGGCGCAGGAGTCTCAAAGGCTCGGCTCGTTGCGAGGCTAATCCCTCAGAGCCATTAATCTGCGTGCTGTGATTGCCCGAGTAATCACCTCACGAGGCATGGTGGCCATTTTTGGTGCGACCTCATGGGCGGCAGCCAGTTGCTGCAACACCAGCAGTGGCCTGCATTGGAGCTGCTAATCGAGGCCCGCGGGCTA